TGTGTGTGTATTGAAAATTTGAAAAATATGTATAAAGTTCAAAGAATATATTATTTTATTTATTTATTAGTTTAAATATTTAAAATAACATTAAAAAGTGACAAATGCACAATTACACATATGATTTGCATAGGTACAATGATTGTAATGCTTAATGTTCGATCGAAATGTATTAACACGCATTATGCATTTTAAAACCTTAATTTTAACTATATACCTTATGAAACCCACAATTCTACTAATTTTTCAATCATACATTATCCTAGGGATTATTACGCTATAGACTTATTTAAACCTCGTATCATGAGAGTCGTGTTTAGGTGGATTTTGAATAACGAATTGCAGTTCTTGAAAATCTAATTCTTTTGTGTGAGAATTATCGTTTGTTCTTGAAAATCCTGTTAGATTTTAATTTATTATGTGGTCATACATATGCAATTAATTATGTATTAAATGTTATCTTAAGGTTAAGTCCAATTAAAATGATTTAATAAAGAATTAAAATTAGGGAAAAATTCACAATTAAGGCATTAAATATGCACAATTCAAAAATCAGGTTTTAAGTTTAATTAATGTAAAAATCAAGTATTTATTTATTAATTAAATATAATAAAGTCATAATTATACAATTAATGGTTACCAGTACATAATCATAAGTCACAACTTATTTATTAATCATGTATTATCAAATTAATTGATTACAAATTAATTTGAAATCACAAATCAAAAATTTTATAGGTTACAATTTATTTTATTGGTCACAGATAAAAAATTATAGATCACAATTTATCAATCAGTCACATATTTTCAAATTTGTTGGTCACAAATTATCGAATTTTAAGGTCACAAATAAAAAAATTATAGGTAACAGTTTATCAATCGGTCATATATTTTTAAATTTGTTGGTCACAAATTATCGAATTTTAAGGTCACAGTTCAATAGTTGGTCACAAGTAACCAAATAGTTGGTCATAGGTCAAATAGAGGGTCACATACGACCACCACCTACACTGCCGTCGCAGCAACTGCACCGCCAACACCACGACATCACCACCAACAAAATTGTCGCCACGAGATCCAATCAACTGCTAACAAAAATCATGACAGTCGACTCTATCGGATCTCCAGTCACCAACAACCACCACCCTATCGTCGGCACCAGATCCATCGCCAACCCCATACCCAACTCCACCACCACAACAGCACAACCACCAACAAAACCATTACCTCCAGATCAAAAAAAATAAAAATCCCAAACCCGCCACCACTTAGATCCTCGTCGTCGCCACCAAATCTACCACCATCCCTGTCGTTGCCAACAACAAAGATACCACACCACAACCACCACCCACCGTAAACGCGCCACCATCTCAACCCCGTCGCCTCCAACACTACCACAAACATCACCGCCAACAAATCTCATTGATCCTGCCATAATCGAATCAGATCGGAATTGGGCGGCGCTCTAAGCATCGTGTGCAATGGTGAACGGAGCACCGTTGTGCATAAAGATAGAGACCACCACCATGGCGATATATGGAAGAAGATAGAGACCACCACCGTGCAGAGGCTCCGATGCTTCTCTAGTACAGATCACCACTAGGCGCGGCACCACCATCTTTGTACGACCATCAACTGCCATCATTTACGATAGCAATCAACACAAACCACACCGTCAGGTAACTCTGAAGTCGCCACTGCGCAGCAATGCCGAGAGTGGGTCTCCCTGAACAGTATCACGTCTCTTATCGACGCCACGTCGGCGGTGCTCCGGTGATGTGTGTGATAAAGAGGAAGAGAGAAAGATTGGGATTAATCTCGATTTAGGGTTTCGAATTAAGGAGAGGATAGAGAAAGTGTGACGAAAGTGAGAGTGAGAGTGAGGAAGAAGGGGAAGAGGATTGTTAAAATAAATTAGGGTTTTAATTGGGTGGAAAATTTAATTTATTAATATTATTATATGCATTAAAATATAAAATTATTACCTGATTTTTGAATAAGTAAACTTTAAACCCTATTGTTGAAAATCAATCTTT